TTTCAGGCAGTGCAATGGAATATGAGAAATTAGTATCCAAGATGAGAAATTGTCAGGGGACTTATGATCAGTTCAGTTTTGCACCAATTTTTATTGTTTCATGAAAAGTGAAAATCTGCTGTCAGAACAAATCTATAATGCCGATGAAACCAGAACTATGGCTTTTCAAAATGAAAGGCTCCAGGTCACAAATCCAGTAAGGAGAGATTGACAACCTTGTGCTGTTCTAATGCATCAGGAGCACACAAACTAACACCAGAAGTTATCAGCAAAGCGAAAAGACCACGCTCTTTTAAAGGAACAGTAGCTTCAAGTCTGCCTGTCCATTATTTTAATCAGAAAGGAGCTTGGATGAATAGAGCGATATTTAAAGAATGGTTTGATTTTAAATTTGTGCCTCAAGTTCGTGACCATCTAAAATCCCAAGGCCTACCTGAGAAAGCTGTGCTCCTCATTGACAATGCGCCCTCACATCCTAACGAAAGTCTCCTGAGGTCAGATGATGGAAATATTTTTGTGAAATATTTTCCTCCTAATGTTACCGCACTTATCCAACCAATGGATCAAGGAGTTATCTCAAGTATGAAGAGAATCTACAGATCAAATTTGCTACAAAAGTACTTAGATGAAGGCAATGATCTGACGTGTTTCTGGAAGTCTTTTTCAATGTTAGATGCCATATACAAGATTTCAACAGCGTGGGATACAGTAAAGCCATCTGTATTGAAAAATTCATGGAAGAAACTGATGCCTTTCATCACTAATGAAGATGACAAAATTCATGGATTCACTGCATTCAGTGAAAATGAGATAGCCATAGAACTGACAAAATTGGCCAGCCAAGTTCATGATGGTGAAGAAGTCAACGAGGAAAATAGAAGAGAGTGGTTTGACTGTGACTTGTGTGAGCCAGGCTTCGAAATGTTAAGCAGTGACGAAATCATAAGTTCAGTGGGGGTGCAGCCAGAAGAGCGGGAAGAAAGTGTGAATGAGGAAGAGGTGGACAGTGCTGCTCTTAATCATTTGGAATCCTTACTAGACTATCTTGAGAGTGCAGAGAACAGTTTATTACGTGACAAGCTAATATTACGTAGGCTTCGTATGGATATCCATAAGAAGGAAAATGCTGAGAAAAAGCAAACAATATTAAATTTTTTTAAGTGTTAAGTGTGAGTATTCATAAAAAGTGTTGGATGTTGTTGAACACTGTGATTGAAATAACTAATTCATACTGAAGTGTAATGTAAAAAAAGTATTAAATAGGCCATGAGAGGACATAAAAATGAGGTTGAATAAGTTTAAATACAGGTAGGCCTATAGTATTATGAAGGTAAAGTATTACAGTACTACTTTTAATAAAATTTGTCTTAACCGGGTTTTCAATTAATCATTTTCATCCCCACCATTATCCCGGATAATCGAGAGTTGAGTGTATCACTGATTATCATGCATAAACTCTTCTAATCACCCATTTGATTCTTCTTATTCCACGGCTGCTATACTTCAGCTGAACTTATAACATCTTCATGTTCACAGTTCACTCACTATCACTGAACTCGGCGACTGCTAGACTTCCACTGCAATCGGCGACTGGTAGACTTCCATTGCACTGCTTAGGTATTCCAGTTTCTCTTATAAACCCTGAGCCAGACAGCTGAAAATGCACCTCACTTCCCTGTTGCATAATCGCTGTGTTTACCGATTGCCTAGCAACAGTCGCTGCACAGACTCGCCTGTTGCGTGACATCACAGCCTATTGGGGAGGGGTGTTTAGTGAGCGTTGCATAGTGATGGAAGGAGTGGGGGTACGTGACGTCACTCGTGGAATCGCAGAGTTCATGTGACCCCTAGTTCCTGTTGCGCCATCCACGTTACAATTTGTTTGCAGTTTCACTGAAAATTGTGTTTGGTTTGTTAATGGTTTTTGTTTCTTTTTATGATCCACAATTTTTAAATGGAATGGAAATGGGAGAATATGCTATTGTTTGTTATAATACAAGGCAGTCTTTTATTCATTGAAGCATTTCATTTCATCATAAAATTAAACCACTTATTATTTTTGCATTTACATTGCCCATACACTGGGAAATAGGGTCCGCTATGTGAAGCATGTTCGATTTGTTCTCTTCATTTTGAGATGACATGTTAAGTCAAATAATGAAATTCAACAGTACAGCTTGCAGAGATTCTGCAGCAGTTGGAAATAACCTCTTCATATATTGCCTCTTTTGAAATGTCAGTTTTATGAGGGTTAGCGTGGAACAGTTTATCCTTGAGGTATCTCCACATGTAAGAGTGACAGAGGTGACTAATCCACCATTATAAACACAAGGAAAGCTCTCTGTTTCTGAATATTTCCTTTAAAAATTCCAATACAGCACTGGCTGTATGAGGCCTTGTGTCTTCCTGTCGGAACCACCTCTTATCGGTGTCAACACTGTCACCCATGAGAAAAGAAATATTCTTCCTGCAAAACGTAAGGTAAACCAGAGGACTGTCTGTGCCTTCAGTAATCTCAGGTTACATTTGCCAGCACAGGGAAGTACTCACCACACTCTATCTCATTAAGGATGTAAGGGATTGTTAGTAATAGTCTTTAAATTTCAATGAGCCCAGTGATGAGCATTGTTTCTTCACATAATCGGGTAAATGAAAATGGGCCTTATCAAAAACCAAATTGTGCTTAAAACGTATGCTTTATTCTCAAGAAAGTGTGACAGCTCATTATAAAACGCTTAATGTTTGTATTATCCTAAGTCTTTTAAAGGCTGAGGTAACTGCCTGGTGTCTTGTAAGAATTTGCTATTAAGTCAGTAAATTTTCCCCGCTATGCTATGGCTCATATTCCTTTAATTTTGTAACACATTGTTAACTTTTCCCAGAACCCCTCAGTAGCATTTGTCTGGCTTCATCCACCACATCAGGTATGTGTATGGATGGATGTACAGCATGACCCTCTTGCTGTTTGAGTAGGCCACCAGTTTTTGAAGCAGCATAACCCCAAACGATATTTTGTGTTGGTCTTTTATGTAAAAGAAACTGTATAGAAGTTTCCCCTGTAATATAGAGTGTCACAGTATTTACACTTCACAATATTCTTTGAAAGTGGGAACTCTCTGTGCACAGTGTAGGCCTTCAGAATATTTGATGTTAAAATGGCTCTTTCCAGTGTTACCAACCTAAAATAAAATGTGCCTTGAGTTACCTATTACTTCAGTTCTGAGACTGAATGGATTAGAAAAATATAAGCAGTTGAAATGGCTTGATTAAGAAAAAGTCACCTCATATTTCTAATGTTATTTGAATTTATTTGTACAGATTGTAAAGAAGGCTGTTTATACGGGTATGGATGGAAATCTTCAGCGCCGGTACACTATGCAAAGGCTCCATATCTACCCTGATGATAAAGTTCCTGAAAATATCAAGCGAAACATCACAAATCAGCTCAGGCAGTTGCGCCCAGTTCCAAAGCGACTTGACCATTATGCTCCTGAAGAGGTGCAGCAGTTTCCAAAGGTTATGGATTGGCCAAAAGATTATGTCTTACGTTGACAGTCTGAATATTAGTAACATAAATGCCTTTATTGGGAAGTTATTTTACTTAAAGCCACTTCACTGTTTTGTCATAGAAATACAGGGTGGTGAATTATGAAAGTGTTCCATGTTATAAGCTGTATTGCTGTATGTCATAGTGGTAGTAGATGAATGTTGAATACTTCACTATTTTTGTAGCATGAGCTATGGAAGTTGTAAATACAAATGTGTATCGTGTGTGTATGATTCAGAAATTTGGCAGTTCATTTCTTATGAATTATTTAACAGCATCCTTTCAAAGTTTCACCTCTAGAAATTAATTTATGGTTGTAAATTTCTTAATCATATAAAATAAATATGCTGATTCTAGTTGTCTTGTGTCTAGGGTGTATATGATTTCATACAGCTTCAAGACTGGGATCACAGGATTGACTCCCACTTATAGCATGTTTATCATTCTGTTTTCTAATTTGACTCTCAATAAAATGTGTGCCCAACAGTTTCATTAACAAAATATGATAACTAAAAGAGACAAAAAGCAGTATCATCCTGTTTTTGTTAATTGGGATGTTGATCATTTTATCTGCTTTCCCTTCCTTCTTCCACTTACTTTAATCCAGCCAATAGAGGTATAGCGAAGTGTATAAGAGTGGAGTAGAGTAAGGGGAGAACAGGAAGGGAGGGTAAATGGAGTGGGAGATGTCCTTTGAGAAATCTTTGCTCAGCTGCACTATAGCTGCAATGCTGATACCACATTTCTCTTACTGGAGAGCCAGATTATACCATGAACATGTAATTAGTAGTGAAGCTTCTGTGTTACCAACATGGTGTGCATCAAATTGAATCAGTTGAAAATGTTGGTTCATTGGTAATGTATTTGAATTATGTTCAGAGAGTACCTGAGTTCCATCTCAAAGCATCAGCTATGCTGACCAAAATTCTGTCTACTGAGCATTATTAAATCTATAAAATGATAAGGTATTCTCTCTTCCTAAGCACCATGTTGAAAGGGAGATAAAGCTCCATACATTCTCAGCCTCTCAGCATTGGGTAGAAGTGAATGTTTAGCTTCATTCTCCAACAGTCTAATCACTGCACAAGAGCCCCTATTATCCATGGAGTAGGGGGCTGTTTGTACTCTTTGAGTTAAGATATAGTCAGAGTCCTGCCAGGATTTATATGAACATGCAGCACAATACAACTGGCCGGCTAATATTATTACTTGTAATTTTAATATTCCAGATGCTGTATAATTTTCTAAATTATCTCGGCTTCACAGTTCATATAATGCAGCCATCCAACATCGATGAGTTTTCTAGTGAAAGGAAATCAGCAGAGCAGCGTAGAAGCTGTATAAATTTTGAGCTTTGCTGTTGAAATTTTTTTACCATGGGATTCTAATGTACAGTAAAACTTCTAGTCTGAAGATCACTTAATCTGCTGTATTCTACCCAGAGGAAGTTTTAAATTTTAATAATAACCTCTGCTTGAAGTGCAGTGAAAAGGAAACTTGGTAATGATGGTCTAAAACATAAATAGAAATGTGTCATACCTTGTGTTGACACTGCTGTGTATATGAGTCTGTCTATGACGAGAAAAAAAAAGCATTCCGTGGCATTAGTCTGCAAATGAACTATAGCAACCAAGCAGTTGCCACTTGTCGGTGAAGTTAGTACCTCTAAGGTCTAGTGGTCAAGAGTTCCTGGCTATAGATCCAGAGGTGCTTGGTTCGATTCTGAGAAGTAGTGGGTCTGGAATGGGGTCCACTCAGCCTCATGAGGATAATTGATGAGTTACTTGAATGGAAAAGTAGTGGCTGCAGTCTAGAAAACCGAAATTAATGGCCGTGGGGATTTGTTGTACTGACCATGCGACACTCTCTTATTAGCTAAAGTTGCACTTTGACAGCACAACTTATATGTAGGTCACCCCAAAGGTAATGCACAACATTTTTTTTTTTAATTCAGTTTCTATTCTACACTTCTGCTATTTTTAGGGTACACAGAAGGATCCTTCTCACTTGTATTCAGATTTAATTCAACCCGTTCCCACATGTAGCACTGTCATAGCACTCCTTAAAAATGGCTGCTGCACTTAATGTTCATCAAAAGCAATGTTCTTGTGTTGTGAGAATGAGACAGTGGAAAATATTCACAAGAGATTGAAAAATGTGTATGGAGATAACGTTGTCGATCACAGTACAGTTGGTCGGTGGGAATGCAGGTTATCTGGTGAAAGTGGGCACACCAATATTCGGGACTCCTCACACCTGGCAGACTGCACACCACACAAACACCTGACAATGTGCAGCACGTTAGCGATATGATTTTGGAGGACAGACCTGTGACTGTGAAAGAAATATCAGTCCAACTGGGAACTGGGGAATCAATTGTGTGCAGAATATTGAAACAGTTGGGGTTGAAAGTTTGTGCAAGGTGGGTTCCGAGGATGTTGACAGATGCCCACAAAGAAACCTGAAAAACTGTGTGCAGTGAACTCTAGGCACAGTATGAAAATGGTGGAGATGACTTTCTTGCGAGAATTGTGATGGGAGGTGAAACATGGCTGCACCATTTTGAACCAGAAACAAATTGGCAATCAGTGGAATGGCACCATGCGAAATCGCCCAAGAAAAAGAAATTCAGATCTGTGCCTTTGGCAGGAAAAATTATGGCTAGGGTCTTTTTTTATTCAGAAGGGCGTTTGCTTGTGGACATCATGCCACAAGGAACCACCATTAATTCCCATACATATGTGGCAACCCTAAAGAAACTTCAAGCTCTACTGAGTCGTGCTCGACCTCATCGGCAGAAACAGGATGTTTTGCTGTTGCATGACAACGCCCGACCACACGTCAGTCAGAACACCAAGGACGAGATCACAAAACTTGGATGGACAACATTGCCACAACTCTTATAGCCCTGATGTAGCGCCCTTTGATTACCATCGCTTTGGTAAACTGAAGGAATCCCTTCACGGAACAAAATTTGAAGATGGCCACTAAACGGTGGCTCAGATGTGCTGGTCCAGAGTTTTACCGTGCTATCATACAGGCCCTAGTTCCAAGGTGGCATAAGGCAGTTGAAAGGGATGGAGATTATCTGGAGATGTGATATTTTGTTCCTAAAGGATGTATCAATGTACTGTGTAAGTAGTAAAGGTCTAGAATAAAAATTGAATTTTTAAAAAAAGGTTCAGCATTTAATTTGGAGTGATCCTCATATATTAAATATTCTGTTTTCAGATGGAAAGAAGTCCTGTCATATCATGGTTGTTTGAAACACGAGTTCTTTGTAAGATATTTGCAGATATTATTGAATCAGTGTGTTTGGTTAACTTGACCTTGAGATTGATTTTTTATAGGTGAGTAAATAATTAAGTGTTCACGCCCCAACAGAAGACAAAATTGATGACATACTAGTTCTGTAAAGAACTAGTACCTGTATTTCATAAATTCCCAAAGTACACCATGAAAATTTAGTTAGGAGATTTCAATGCCAAAGTAGGTAGATAAGACATTTTCGATCCAACAATTGGGAATGAGAGTTTGCATGAGATTAATAATGATAATGGAGTTAGAATAGTAACTTTGCCACATCGAAAAATCCTACTGTCAAAAGTACAATGTTCCCGCATCGTAACATCCATAAATTTACTTGGACATCGCCTCATGGGAAGATAGACAATCAAATATACCGTATTTTGATAGATAGGAGATGGCATTCAAGTATACTTGATGTCTGATCATTCAGGGCAGCAGATTGTGATACTGACCACTACCTGGTGGTGGCAAAGGTTAAGGACAGACTGGCAGTGAGCAAACAAACAACCCACACAGTTCGTATGTTGATGCTCAATCTCAAGAAATTAAACGAGGTAGAGGGTAAGGAGCAGTATTGTGTGGAAATCTCAAATAGGTTCACGGCTTTGGAAAACCTGGACACTGAGGTGGATGTTAACAAAGATTGGGAACAAAATTTCTGCCCAGGAGAGTCTAGGTTATTATGAACCGAAGAAGCATAAGCCATGGTTTGATGAGGGATGCTTGAATCTACTAGACCAAATAGGCCAAATTGCAATAGTTACAGGATCCAAGCGAAATAAATAGGGATAATCTGAACAATATAAGATGTGAAACCAGCAGGCACTTCAAGAAAAAAGGGAGGGAATATCTGAAAGACAAAATTGATGAGCTTGCAATAGGGTTCCCAGATACCCCGTTTTTCCCGGATTCTTCCGTTTTTTCACCCAAATTTTGTTCCTCCGTTTATTGTTTACTGGGAGTGGATAATTCTCCGTTTTTTATTTAAGTCCATTGCGAATTATATTTCATGGGTTAAATATTATCATAAAATTTCCGTAATCCTTGGAAAATGACATTATTACAGTTTCTTTCGTTATGTTGGCAGCACTTGAGGTTCTAAACCAAAGCAGAGTTTGTTGGTGATGTTGGTGATAGTGTATTTTTAATCCGTACAATATTCTGTAGAAAGTCAGTGTCCAGTTAGCAAAAATGTTTGAGAGCGAAGCAGATCCATCAAAGACTCCTCCACGGAAGAAGTTGAAATTCCAGGCCAAACATAATCAAATATGGGAAGATATGTTTTCGTGGTTTAGGCCGGGACCAGACGAGAACCGGACATTTTGTACTTTGTGTAGGAAGGATTTTAGTATTTCGCACGGTGGACAAAGTGACCTGAGGCAGCATGCACAATACAAGAGACATAAAATTAAGGAGAAATGTAATTCTGGAAGTTCAAATACACTTTCGAAATACTTTGTTAATTTAAACAGTAAAGAAGAATATGACAACAGCACCGCGTGCGAACTCGGTTTAGTGTATGATGCAGTGAAACACAAGTTATTCCAGTCTGGACTGCGGAAATAAACTTGTGCCCCATATTTTCAGTGATTCCGCGATTGCTTCCAGGCTTTCATGTGGACGCACTAAAGCGGAAATGATAGTGAAGTACGTTCTTGCTCCTAAAAGTGTAAATGACTTTGTGTCTATTTTAAGGTGTCCAGAAAATACTTCAAAATTTCTTTCGTTGGCTACCGATGCATCAAACAGAAGCAATCGAAAAATGTTCCCTGTTTGCATCAGGTACTTCGACCCTTTAAAAGGAGTGCAGAATAAACTTCTAGATTTTGTTGAAAGTGCTGAGGAAAGGTCTATGGCAATTACTGGTTTGGTGCTGCAGAACTTAGAAAAGCACAACTTGGATGTAAATTAGGTGTCTTCTTATTGTGCAGACAATGCCAATGTGAACTTATTTATTTATTTCGTCTCTATAGATCATTGTTGCATGATATAGGACAAGTCAGGTACTGTACATTGGCTGATTACAATAAGAGAATAAAGTTAACAGTGCTTAAAATTGTTTACAATATATTTCACATTGTGTGAGGTGGAGTCCATATTAGGTCCCCTCGGTACGTCGGCTTGCATATGTCATATTGTACCTGTACTGATGATAATGCTTTTGGAGAATTTGATGGAATGAGGATTGGCAGGGGAAACCGAAGTACTCTGGGGAAACCCTGCCC